GCAGATGCTGACAAGAATGATAAATCTGTGAAGGATCTCGTTCTCTTGCTCTTTGAGACTGCTCTTCTAACTTCTGGCTTCAGCCTTGATGATCCCAACACATTCGGTAACAGAATTCACAGGATGCTGAAGCTTGGACTCAGCATTGATGAGGATGCCGGTGAAGCAGATGCCGACATGCCACCTCTAGAAGATGCTGATGCTGATGCTGAGGGCAGCAAGATGGAGGAAGTTGATTAAGTCTAACTCTATTGTCTCTTACCATTATGATTCCAGAACAATCTTTTTTATATTTAGTGTTTGTTTTTAAATTTTGTAATATTTGAACTTTTGTTAAGTGGGTGTCATGTTAAAATTTTTGTGAGTTTTTTAATATTTTAAATATTTGATGGTTAGTATGAAAATTTGTAGTTAGTTTTAGTAATCCTTTTAACTAGTAAATGTGTGCCTTACTAGTTACTTTTAGTTTTTATGCCACAAAAAATTGAATTAATAAAATTAAAAAATATTTTTAAATGTAAAGTAATATATTTTTAATCATGTTATCCATTAGTCCGTGTATAGCAAATATTTGTTTTGAAATGATATTTTAAAGTTATTAGAATTGTTTTTTGTATACTAAATAATAACTTACTTTCTACATTTTGCATTAATAAATTATTAATTTTGAGAAAGATTTACATTTTTTAAGGATTATTTGGTTTGGTATTAATTTTTAAAATATGTATTAATTTATTAAAAGATTAGATATTAATCTTTTTATTTGTCAAATTTTTTCAAATATTTAGTTTCTTTGAACATTTAGTTTTTTTCTCGTTTACTATTATAAAATGATTCAAAATTGTGCATTTTATTTTATACTACTAATTCTGATTTTTATAAATAGACATGAATAAACCATAATCTTTTAATATGAAAATGATTTTTTATGCCAAATATCTCTTATTTTTTGTGCACAACTATTAAGTGTACTATTTTTTGTACTTTTTAAATTCGATTTATCGGCGTAGTTTTCATGAATTAACTTTAATTAAAAAGAAGTTTTCAAATATTTGAAAAGTGAAAGGAATTTTTGAAATTGTTTTGATCATCACAAAAATAATGTTAAAGAATAGGACAATAAAGGTGAAGTAAACGTGTCTTTTTTTAATGATAGAAAGATTGTTATTTTGGTACCAAAGAATAAAAATATTATGGAAATCATATTTTGATGAAAGGTTGGGCAAATATTTGTAAAAAGAAAATAAGCAGGTCTATGTGGGAGTGAATATAAGAGAAGAAGAAATTATAAGAGACAAATAAAATATGTTCTTTTTAGTATTAAATTTTTAAAAATATGATATTTAATTATCTGGAGTATTTACAGGATGTGTAAGTGAAAGAAGTAGAATAAAAATTGTTTTTAGTATTGAATTATTGTTAATATTATATTTCTTTTTATTTTTTATGTTTAAAGAACTTATTTCATAAATATTTGAACGATTTTAAAGAGAAACATTCCCTTTCTCTTTAATGAAAATGAAAATAAAATAATAAAATACAAATTTGAAAAATGTACCAAAAATTAAAAAATATATATATTTAATATGAAAGCACTGCACTTGTTAAACCTATAAAGAAAAATGTATAATGAATGAAGTACAAAATAAATTTGATAGACCAGAATGGAAATTTGGGGGAGAAGAATGGTGGTGGAATAAGCCTTTGCTCACATTTCAATCTAAACAAGAAATAAAGAAAAAAAAAAGAATCATGCGTTTCCGATTCAAAATTTTGAAAAAACAAGACTTTTCTTTATACATTCCAGAAAATGACTTTTTTTTATACATTTTGAAAAAGGAAATTATTTTTAGATTTGAAAATGTAACATCCCAAAAATACAGTCTAAAACTATATAATAGAATAATCACATTGAATAATATACAACTCAGTCTTACACTAAAAGAGAAATACACTTGTGGCCGAATGACCTTACATAAAAAACTAGAAAATTAAAACCCGAACAACATAAGCGATTCCCGACCGAACGGGTTTAGAAAAGACTATACCGAACGGTCCTACCAAAAGAAGAGGGGAAAATATGATCGAACGATCATCTTAAAACTAAGCTAATAAACTCACCGAACGGTTCTACTGTTCGGTCTTAGCGCTTCTTCCAGCAGCTCGTCTCCTTCTGCTCACATCCACATGGATGATCATTGCAACAGAAAGACAACCGTACAAAACAGACAAGACAAGAAACATAGGGTAAGCTTATGTAATTCAATTCATGTATAAATATATATTTCACACAATCAACCAAACAAGATAATTCATCACTCGTTCATGCAAAGCCTAATACTAGACTGACTATCCGGACTGTATGAATTCTGTGTAGCTACGATGTTCGTGCACCCGGGTGATGTAGTAACTGGATACCCTCAACAGCTGCCACCCGAGGTTAGTCCTATCTGTCCATAAGGATTAGGACCTCCTGCCGTTCCCACACATGACTTACCCTCCTCTACGTACGGACGAGTAATCACGGAACATCAGGATGAACAGCCAGCTTAGCATGCCCACATTCATACTTTACCAAATTCTAATATCCATTCATGAGATATTCCTCCCCGGAATACTCGTTCAAAATCAAATACATTTCCACCATAACATACTTAATCATCTTTTCCTTATTAAATCTCGATTGGAACGAAGATCCAATGAATTTGAATAAAAATCCCTAAAGATTGCCAAATACCGAACGTTCAACCCTAACTCAAGACGAGACCGAAAATTGGAGCGAGACCGAGGGGTCTCCAGTTCCATAACAGATTAAGACCGAGAGGTTTACTATCGAGCTGAGAAAGAACCAGAGTACAATCATATATTACAAGAACGAATAGAACGAATGTTATTTAAAAAGTGAGCCAATTAAATGAATTGACTCCTGAGAGCTCAAACCGAACACCGAAAAGCCCATGCCATGTATTAAGACTCTAGGCCGAAACCAATGGATACAAACATTTCAAGACATTCAAGGAATAATACTTAAAAGAATCACATGAAGAAACCGAACGCTTATAAATACTTAGCTTAATTGAGTTTAACATCAAGAAAACCGAATGTCAGTCAAAGACCGAGCACGGTAGAGAGAGTACACTATTAAATTTGGACGAACGCTATTTTCATCAAGGTAGATTATAGAAAAGAGAATGAGGGCTTGGTATAAGACTCTGCACAAAAATAGTACGAACGCTCGGTGAAAGACCTAGCTCTAAATCGTACGAGCGCTTGATGAAAAACCTATAAGTAAATAGCACGATCGCTTAATGAAAGACCTAACACTAAGTCGTACGAACGCTTGAAATATAAGCTATTATTTAATTAATATTCAAGAACGAACGAATATACTACTACCGATGGGCATACTTAAATTTATATTAAAATGTCAAGAATAGAATATCCTTAGTGGAACGCCTGTACACAAATTGTACTAGACGAAGACGCTCGTCCTCAACATAAACTCCTTCCAAATGAAGGAGTTCAGTTCTAAACGAGTCCCCAAGAAAAACCGAACGGTCAAAGACCAGTAACGAACATACATTATCATAGGGAATTTCATACTTAGAATTATTTATCTTCAAAATCTCATACATCCATATCATATTGAATTTCCATACTTCATACAATCAGAACATAGCAACATTCATATTTCATATTAATTCAGCAACTCAACCAACATACATGCAATTCAAGCAACATACAAATTAAATTAAATAAGCTTCCCTTACCTCTAATGTGACCGAAAGCTCACAGCTCATATAGAATAGCTCATCAC